AGTCTCTGGATGAGCTAATTTGTATTTCTGGATTCAAATCAATGAAATAACAGTTCCTGTCCCATGAAGGTCTTCAGAGGCAGGTTTTGGTCGGAGGCCTAGTCCACTACAGATGAATAAACAAACTCCAAGGCAACAGAAAAGTTAGAGGGGACAAAAAAGACCACATCATTGTTCTTTGGGAGCAAAGAGACTTGAGACAGCAGGAATAAAGGATTATGGAGAATATTCTGATGCACGCTCAATAATCCAGGTAGAAAAATCTAAAAAAAGTAAAGTCAGGTCCCCTGGACAGATTCTTCCTGTTGAAACATTTCATCAGCCATCACCCCAATACTAAAAAAAAAACTGGTCTTGACCCTGAAAACCATAAATTTCTGGCCTATACCCAATCTTCTCTTTCTGTCTAAAATTTTAGAGAGTCATAGCTGATCAACTTCAGACCCACCTCAAATCCAATAGCTTGTTTGAACCATTCCAGTCCGGTTTGTTTCCGTCCAAAACACAGCACCGAAACAGCTCTTCTCAAAGTTACCAAGAATCTCTCCCTTTCCTCTGATTTTGGCCAGCTCATTATCTTCATCCCTCTGGACCTCACTGCAGCCGTTGACACTGTCAGTCATTCCATCCTCCTGTCCATCTCAAGTCCAACCTGAACATCACTGCTCCGCACTGTCCTGGTTTCATACCTCACAGACTGGCAACAGTTTATTCACATCAACTGCTGCTCCTCCTCGATAATCCTATCCCAGGGTCCAACATTTTTCAGTCATGTTATCTGGACAGTTTCTTTTTTTGTGCTGAAATGTTTAGCCTTCGATCCAGAAGGCTTCATCAGTCAAGGAAACACACAATAAAACTGATTCTTCCCCCAACAGCTTACTCCAAAGTGGAACAAACCAGTTCTGCTTGTGATAAGATGGTCTCTTTGGTACGCCCCATCTCCATTGACGGCCCTCTTCCTTGTTGACAGTCTTGTCAAACTGGTTGAAAACAACAAAGTCCATGCTCAGGCAATGGAGGAGGGGTGTACCAAAGTGACCATCTAATCACAAGCAGAACTGGTTTGTTCCACTTTGGAGTAAGCTGTCGGAGGAAGAATCAGATTTGTTGTGCGTTTCCTTGACTGACGAAGCCTTCCGGATTGAAGGCGAAACATTTCAGCACAAAAAAAGAAACTGTCTAGATGACCTGACTGAAAAATGTTGGATTTTATACCTGGATTATTGAGCATGGACTTTGTTCCTATCCCAGAGTGTTTCCCAAGGTTCAGTGCTTGGTCCTCTCCTTTTCATCCTTTACATCCTCCCCCTTGGTAATGTTAATCCATCGTCATGGCCTCCATTTTCACTGCTACGCTGATGACATACAGATTTACATTTCTACTACATCCATAAACGCCAACATCCACTCCACCCTCACCCATTGATTAACTGACATCAAAATCTGGAGGAAGCACAATTTTCTCAAATTAAATACTGACAAAACTGACATACTCATCATTGGTCCAAATAGTGTTACCAAGTCCACTCAAAACTTCTGCCTCAACTTTGACAACATCACTCTCACTCCATCCCCACTCATTTGTAATCTTGGTATTCTTCTCGACTCCACTCTTTCATTCGAATCACACGTTAAAGAGTTAACTCGGACTGCATTCTTCCATCTCAAAAACATGGCACAACTCCGCCCATCACTCATTTTCTCCACTGCTGAAATCCTAATCCATGCCTTTGTCACACCAAGAATTGACTAATGAAATAGTATTTTGTACGGTACACCATCCAAAACTCTCAACAAACTGCAATACAGTGAACCCTCGCTATAGCACGGTTCACCTTTCACGGTCTCTCTGCTTCACGGATTTGCATCGTTCATTGTGTTCTGCATTCTGATTGGCTAAACAGTCTCTCCAGTACAATAGTTATTTGTAAAAAACGTTTATACAGTACTTTTATTTGTTAAACAAATGCTTGGGCCTGTAAAAAGGTTTTGTTCTTTGGTTTGAATGTATTATGGAGTATTTCATTGTATAATAATTGTAAAAAAAGTAAAGGTTACTACTTCAAGGATGTCGCCTATCACGGGTTCTTTTTGGAACGTGAAAAACGAGGGTTCACTGTATATTCAAAACTCTGCTGCTCACCTTCTCACCCACATCCGCACACGTGAACATATCACTCCTGTCCTGCAGAACCTTCATCGGCTCCCCGTCACTCAGCACATCCATTTCAAGATCCTCCTCATCACATTCAGAGCCCTCCATAATCTGACCCCTCCATACCTGACCAACCTACTCCATCACTACACTCCTTCTCGTTCCCTCTGCTCCTCCGATGCCAACCTTCTGTCTCTCCCCTGTAGGACCAAGCTCTGAACCTGGGGAGACAGAGCCTTCATCGCTGCCCCACCCTCTGGAACTCACTGCCCCAACAGCTTCGTGTCTGCTACGATTTCTCCACTTTTAAGAAAGAACTCAAAACCCACTTGTTTAAAATTGCTTTTAATGTTTAAATTTGCTCCTTTTAAATGTTTTACTGTTTTTGTGTGTTATGCATTGTTGATTATTTTTATTTTTTTTACTCATGTAAAGCGTCTTTGAGTATTTAGAAACACGCTATACAAACAAAATGTATTATTATTATTATTATCTTTAAAATCTCAAACTCAGTCTTGTTAAAAGACTGAGTTTGTTTGCAGCTCTTTAGACTGAAGAATAAGAATTTTGGATAAAAGACGAAATGTTCAACAAAGAAGACTCCGTCCAGAAGACCTGACTCAGCTTTGTTAGAGAGAAGTTCATTCTTCACACTGAAAGTTGGCAGATTGTTGGGAAACTTTAAACAAACGTAGGCTTCATTTACAGATGCACAAGTAGCTGTTAAAATCATTGCTAACTGAATAAGCTCTAAACCTACAAGAAGTTTCAATTAAATTAAAAATGCTGCTGTCAAAGAGAGATCATGTTTCTAAAGTTTGAGCTTCTCTCCACTGGCTCCATGTAAAGTTCAGAACAGAACTGAAACATTTTATTTTTTAACATACAAAGCTCTCAACAGCCGAAGCTCCAACTTGTATTTAAAGATCTTATTGTTCCATAATTTCCAAACGGAGCACTTCAGACGGACATAATCTTTGTCACAGTTTATAAAACTATTTACTTACCCGTTTGACCTCGCTCTCATCAGTGCTTCCCAAACAACCCAAGGCTTCAGAGCGGTGCCCAAAAAAACGTCCTAAAGACAACCGCAGGTAACTTTCATCTCCTTGCCTAAAATCCGAGGACAACTGGGAAGCCCTCATCAGGATGTGGCTGTTGGAGGAGATCTTCCAGGATGAGTCACTGGGAAAGGTGTCGTTTCCACAGACTGGTTCAATTTTTTCTTCCTGTGTGAACAGAGACGCTCAGAAAACTGTCAGGCAGCTTCACAGTCGACAGCACAGCTGAGAGTTCCTAATATCTGCCACTGATTTACACAATATGGCTCTCGAAGCACAGTGCGCAGAAATGTGGCTCAGCTAAATGAAAGCATCCATCAACTAGAGGACGAGGAGCTTCTGTTGCATACCTGCATAAACTGGTGCTCTTTTTCAAACTCTTCTTGATCCTTCACTAGTTTTTCCATAGCATCACCTGCACAACAGAACAGTTGTTCTCTTATTTTTACACCCCAACAGTATATCTACAACATCTCAGGTTTTACAGTTGTACTTACTGGCAGGTACAAAGTCCTCATTTTGAAGTTTTTCATCATACTCTCCAGTTTTCCCATCAATCTCTTTCTGAAAGCTGGAGTAATAAGCCAGGTCTGTGACCCACTGCCCTTCTTCATTCTGGTAAACGACACCATGAGCAGCACTGGCTCCTGATGTGGAAAGCACAGTGTTCGTCACGTTACAAGACTCACCACTGAGTGGCAAGCTTAAAAATAATGCCAAGAATTTATTTTTGATATGGAAAACATCTTAGTGATGCAAAAATGACAAACAATAAAAATAACCAACCAACCTTGTTGAAACTCCAGATTGTCTGGACAGTGACTCCAGCCTTCGTCTGAGTCCTCCTGCTCTTGGAAGCTCTGGGAGAAATATTTGGGTTCCAGGGAAGTGGAGAGAGGATTGTTGTCCTCACTTGAACAATCTGAAGCCGCGTCACAACAAAGCCCTGCCCTCAAACCTAACGAGGGCCTGGCTCCGTCGAGCTCATCCACTCCCTCATCATCATCATCTTCTTTACCACTGTTAGGAAACAGCACCTAAAGCAGTTTGAAGATAAAACCTATGTAAACTGCATAGATGCAAATTTGTCAAAAATTTCCATTATAATATTATTATATCTCCCAATAATATTTTAAAACGTTAAATTTTAATGATAGCATGTGCAGAGCGTTGACGTAACGTAACAGTCACCTGGGAGAGGTGGAAGCTCCCTTGTGTGCCTTGAAGGTGAGAAACTGAATCCTGAGGTCTCCTTAGGTAGACAGAGTCCAACATACGGTCAGCTGCAGGCCCTGAGTTTGGGTTTTCCATGGCATCCTTGAGTTCAAAATTAAACCAAAAAGAACAGACATGATCTTAAAAGAGCTAATTGACTATTATCAAATCTTGCTACATACACTGTTGCACTTGTTAAAACTCTTGAGCAAAGCTGCTCCTCTGAATATTTTAGCCAACACAAAGTCAGTTTCTCAATAGTTAACCCCACTTATCACAATTTGCAGTCAGTGTTTCCCCTACCATTATTCATGAGTGCCCCGCCCTATCAACAGAACTGAGCACCCCACCTCCACAATTGAAATTAACATTTTCATTTTAAGACTTCAGTTTTAAATAAACTGTGCCTAACATTCTGTTTCAGGGGAATACATTTTGATTTACTCTTAGATATGCTGGACTGACAAATCATCCATTCATGTGATAGTAACTACAGTAGTCAATACTTCGCAGTTATACTTTTGCGGACTCGCTGTCGGGGTTTTTCAAAGATTGGACACGAGAAAAAAAAAATTGTACACAACACATGACTGTCAACTTTAATATTACTCACATGATTGGGATACAGGAAAAAGTTTTTTTGGTAGTTTTCTCTCAATAAGCCTACACTATCGCCACTCAAAAGAACTACATTTCCCAGAAGCAACAGTGCTTCCAGCCGTTGCCTTGTGCTGAAATGGAGGGACAGTTTTGATCCAATACAAAAAAGTTCAGTCCTTATTTATATATACCCATTTCCATTAGTACCGGTACAGCACAACTCGACTCAGCACGGTTCCAAGGCTTTTCCATTAGGAACGGTACGTAGAACCAGTCCTTTTCTTTCAGAACCCCTTTCTCTGTGGTACCACCCGGGCCGAGCAGGTACCAAAACGTGACGTCAGAACACTGTCGGTCACTGATTGGTCAGGGGGTGGAGTCAATGGCTGTTAGAGAAATTTCACAACATTCGATCCGCCATTTCCAATTACCGGTGTTCAAACTCGATGAGCGACTGGACTTACTTTAAAGCTTTTAAAAACAATAATGACAACACCGTGGTCTCATGCTGAAGTGCAGGTGTTTTTTGTGCTTGATGGCCAACGGCAAAATTCAGAGCGAGCTAGATGGAGCTCCATCGGTCCCCCCGGTCCTCTCCACCGGAGCCTCAGAGCCCCCTCAGGCCGGGCAGAGCTCAACTCCACAGCTCCGAGCTCCACTGGTCAGCGCACAAGATCCTCCATGCTGCCGACTCAGGGCTCCGGATCCCGGCCTTGCGGGCTCTGAGCTCCGCCGGTCTCCACGGAGGATCATACGAGCCGCTGACTCGCTGAAGGCCGTTCAGTGTTTCCCCTAGTTAACTTGCCATGGCGGGGTGCTCATCTCATCCATGATTTTTGTTGATGGGGGACAGAAACTTGTCTGAGCGCAGCTTGTACTAACAGCTTTTGAGTGGGGGCAGGGGGCGTTTAGCATGAGGGAAGAGGCAACATGAGTGCTTCCTTTAGCTTTTTAGCTAGAGAACCTGTATTTCTCGCTGCTAGCTTAGTGCTATGTCAGTGCCGGGTGGGCGTTTGGTTTGGTAGGCGGGCTGCTCAATTCAGTTGACGGGGTGGGGCACCCCCCTTGTATAATGGTAGGGAAAACACTGCCGTTGCATGGATCCCGACCTTGCATGCTCAAGAAGGCTGAACCCCGATCCCGGCAGACGAGCGGGACCGGGACGGGTCTGGGACGGAGGGTGGAAACGATTTTTAAAAACTTTTTATGTATTAAAAAAAATAATGTATTTTTTTTAATCAGTGAATATTAAAATAAATAAACTGTGCTGGCTTTATAATGAAATCCTGTTCTCACTTTAAAGACTATTAAATCTGTTAAAGTTAACTCAGCTGAAAAATCATTAAAAGACAAAATTATCGGATATCTCATGAAGATTTCCCTCAAACATGTTTAAAGAAGAAATGCAGCCGTTAGTTGAACTTTATTCTACCCCACAGATGTACAAATCACAAAACAATAACTTTAAAGCAACGCTAAAAATAAGAAAAATAATCTGAACAAGAAACAAAACCACAAGTGCAAATACATCAAATGATAAAGAAAATGTATAAAATTTTAAATGTAGATGTTTTTAGAATCTGCTTCATCAGTGGTTTAACGGTGAACTAAAGTTCATTAAAAGTTTATTAGCAGGAGATATAAATATATATATATAACATTTTATTTTTTGATTCTATCATTTTAATAATCTGTATTCTTTTAAATTTACCAGAAACTTCTAAATAAATCATCCTGTACTGAAACTTCTTTCAGCGTCTACACCAGCATTACTGCCATCAGCAGGTAAGGCGTGTTATGTGAATATGAACCCCGCCCACTGCAACCGGTACTCAAAGTATTATGGAAACACAATGTGTGCCGTACCGAGCCGAGTAGAACCGTGCTGTACCGGTACTAAAGGTAATAATGGAAAACGGGCAATAGTGACTTTGGCGCCCAGCGGATGCAGAGAGCCGCATGGAACCAGCCGGGAACTGGACCTTCAGACTCATCAGTGAATCTAAGTGCTGCCCGCTGACCCACAACGTCTTCCGAGCGGGGAGGCGCCGCCAAGAGGTCCGGCGTTCCCTCCAGACCCCACTGGGACTTTTCCATCTGGATTTGGACTCTATCAGAACCACTGTCTGGTCCCATGATGGCTATCTGAAGGTCCGGCTCCCTCTAAAGACATTTTGGTGCTCAAGGGCTGCAGAGAGTCGACCAGAACCAGCAGGGTAGGTCTGCCGAGCCAGACCGGAACCAAGACACTGTGTTCTGCAGAGCTGGTGAGTAAAATTTTGCAGTATTGTACAGTACATATACATATGTTTATTAGTAAATTACGTAGGTTTAAGAATTTAGAACATTGTGGGCTTCGTCTCTGCAGAACTGGAACAGAGCCGGACCAACCAACCAGAACCAAGCTGCTGTGTTCTGGTGAGTAAAGTTTAATAGCTACATATACAGTACTGTACGTATGTTGTTAACATTATGTAGGTTTAAGAGTTTAGAACATTGCAAGAGTGTGGGAAGGGTTTATAAAGTCTTGAAATATATCTGGAACATAACCCCCCACAATAAACGAGGGACTACAGTATATGCTTAGCAAGGTAAATTACAGTTAATTAAATATTTATTCACATTTGCCAAATCTGCTGTAAATTAAAGATTTCACACACTTCGCTGGAATTAAAATGTGTTGTGCTTCAGTGGCACCTGGGAGTTAAATAAAAATACATCTCAGTCAAAAGGTTAATGAACCGCAAAATAAGCCGCAGAAATACAGAGCCTATAAAAATTCACCTCCTTGGATGTTTTATGATTTTGTTAGTTTGTTCTTCTCTCTCGTTAAATTATTTTTAAAATAAAGTTGATCATTTGACAAGAAAATGAGTTAAGGGGTCAAAATATTTTAAAAACACTCAATAAGTCAGATTAAAATACAGTATATTACAGAGATATATTAGGTGCACTTACCAAGGCTTCTTGTCGGTCCAGCGTTGTGCTCCAGTTGACAGAAAGTCTCTGAAAACCTCCGGACACCCCAACAGAAGAGCTGGCCTCACCTGTTCCCACAGGACCCACACGGTCACCCATCTGTCAAATACACCAACATCACAGACAATGACAGATACAGAAAGTAAAATCCAATTACACATCAAAGTACTGCACATAAACATCAGTACACAATATTAAGTGAATTTTGTTCACATTTCTGTCACAGCAATTCTGTAATTCAGAGGATAGGCAACTATCCAGGCTGAAGAAGGAGTCCTATCGGGCCTTTTTGGCCTGTGGGACCCTGGAAGCAGCTGATGGGTACCGGCAGTCCAAGCGTCATGCGGCTCGGGTGGTCACCGAGGCAAAAACTCGGGCATGGGAGGAGTTCGGAGAGGCCATGGAGAATGACTTCCGCACGGCTTCAAGGCGATTCTAGTCCACCATCCGGCGTCTCGGGGGGGGGGAAAGCGGTACGCCACCAACACTGTTTATAGTGGGAGTGGTGCGCTGCTGACCTCAACTCGGGATGTCGTGGGTCGGTGGGCAGAATACTTTGAAGACCTCCTCAATCCCACCGGCACGTCTTCCACTGAGGAAGCGGAGCCTGGGGACTCTGGGTCGGGCCCTCCAATCTCTGGTGCTGACGTCACCAAGGTGGTTAAAAAGCTCCTCGGTGGCAGGGCCCCAGAGGTGGATGAGATTCGCCCAGAGTTCCTTAAGGCTCTGGATGTTGTAGGGTTGTGTTGGCTTACGCGACTCTGCAATATTGCGTGGACATCGGGGGAAGTTCCCCTGGATTGGCAGACCGGGGTGGTGGTCCCCCTATTCAAAAAGGGAGACTGTAGAGTGTGTTCCAACTACAGGGGAATCATGCTCTTAAGCCTCCCTGGTAAGGTCTATTCGGGGGTTCTGGAGAGGAGGGTCCGTCGGATAGTCAAACCTCGGATTCAGGAGGAGCAGTGTGGTTTTTGTCCTGGAACACTGGACCAGCTCTAAACTCTCAGCAGGGTCCTGGAAGGTGCATGGGAGTTTGCCCAACCTGTCTACATGTGCTTTGTGGACTTGGAGAAGGCGTTCGACCGCGTCCCTTGGGGAACCCTGTGGGGGGTACTCTGGGAGTATGGGGTACCGGGCCCTTTGATACGGGCTGTTAGGTCCCTGTATGACCGGTGTCAGAGCCTGGTCCGCATTGCCGGCAGTAAATTGGGCTTGTTCCCGGTGAGAGTTGGACTCCGCCAAGGTTGCCCTTTGTCACAGATTCTGTTCATAACTATTATGGACAGAATTTCTAGGCGCAGCCAAAGTGTTGAGGGGATCTATTTTGGTGGCCTTAGGATTGCGTCTATGCTTTTTGCAGATGATGTGGTCCTATTGGCTTCATCAGATAGTGATCTACAGCTTTTGCTGGAGCGGTTCGCAACCTAGTGCGACGCGGCCGGGATGAGGATCAGTTCCTCCAAATCCAAGGCCATGGTCTTGAGCCGGAAAAGGGTAGAGTGCCCTCTTCGGGTCAGGGAGGAGGTCCTGGCCCAAGTGGAGGAGTTCAAGTATCTTGAGGTCTTGTTCACGAATGAGGGAAAAATGGAGCGTGAGATCGATAGGCGGATAGGTACAGCATCTGCAGTGAAGCGGGTGCTGTACAGGTCTATTGTGGTGAAGAGAGAGCTGAGTCAAAAGGCCAAGCTCTCAATTTACCGATCGATCTACGTTTCCACCTTCATCTATGGTCATGAGCTTTGGGATGTGACCGAAAGAACGAGATCTCGGATACAAGTGGCCAAAATGAGTTTTCTCTGCAGGGTGTCTGGGCTCTCCCTTAGAGATAGGGTGAGAAGCTCGATCATCCGGGAGGGACTCAAGAGTAGAGCCGCTGCTTCTCCATGTCGAGAGGAGCCAGTTGAGGTGGCTCGGGCATCTGTTTAGGATGCCTCCTGGACACTTCCCTGGTGAGGTGTTCCGGACACGTTCCACCGGGAGGAGGCCTAGAGGAAGACCCAGGACTCGCTTGAGGGACTATGTTTCTCGGCTGGCCTGGGAACGCCTCAGGATTCCCCCGGAGGAGCTGGACCAAGTGGCTGGGGAGAGGGAAGTCTGGGCCACCCTACTAAGGCTGCTACCCCCGCGACCCGACCCTGGATAAACGGAAGAAAATGGATGGATGGAAATTTATGGCAACCCTGATTAGGGCTCAGCTGCATTCATTGTGCATGCAGCGTCTGCATGATCAGCTGCGTCCAAACAGATGAATACACTAACATTTATTTGTAACTGAATTCATTGGTTTTGCTCCTACATGCTGAAAAAGGGTGAGCAGCACAAAAACACTGCTCTCTGCCTTTTATTATAACTGTTGTTAGTGCAGAAAAACTTTTGATCGCAGATGCCTGCGGTGCGCATGTGCAACTTCACACTTGAGGAGCATTTCACACCTTCGTGTGCCTGTGTGTGTGTGTGTGGGGGGGGGGGGGGGGGGCGACGCAGCAGAAAGGCTGCAGTTTCACGTCGTGGGCCTTAGACTGGCTGCCTTGTATGTCAATCAAGTGACAAATTTCATAGTGAGGATGCTGACGTCTATTTTTAATGACATGTGATCTACTCATCATGCCTTTGCGATCAACCGTAGATCGCAATCGACATATTGGGCACCCCTGACTTAGATACTTGAGGGTGGACAAAGCTCAAAAATTTTCAGCCATTATGTAGATCATTATATTGATCATTATGACCGCCTTCCCCTCAACATTGGTATCAGCGATAACCAAAATTTCCCTATCGATGGAGCTCTAGTAAATTGTGTTAATCTGTCCATTTCTTATGACCTCTTGGTTCTGTGCAGGGCTGCTGTGAGCTGCTGCTTATGTTGCTTTGTGTATATGGTTGGAGGATGGACACAAGATGGTACCTGTGCTGCAAGCATGAGATGATAACTGCTGCATATGAAGTGGTAACCACTAAGTCAAGCTGAGAGTATAATTTGATGGAAGTACAAATTGACCAGCACACCTCTACAGATGGAAAACATATCCACAAACTTTTATAAGGTGTATGCTCATAGTTTTAATTATAGTGAAAATATGATTTGCTACAGATGCGCTCACCAGAGATCGTACCTCTATGTGTCTGGGAACACCGTTCCTTCCATGTTCTGGAAGAATATTCAGATCAGTGTTCTCGTCTTCATCGATGAGACTACTTCCAACAATTCCCAGACCACGCAGAGCATCAAAGGTGGTCTTTACATTGTTAGCTGCAAGAGGTATGGTTGAAACTCCACCGTCATTTCCACTTTCCTCACTCCCACTGCTCCCATCTCCACCTCCTCCATCTCCTAGTGTTTACAATAGCACAACACATACTGGTAGTCTGAAGCAAAGGTCAGGAGGGTTAGTTTTCACACAACACAATCAAATATCTGGAACAAAATATGCTGCTTTGAGGTTTGTCAACATTAATTGCTAAACATAATGAAAATGTTTGATGAATTCCAAAGGTCAGAAGAACAGGAAAGAAAATGTGTCAGTGAAACCTTTTATTGTTGTACCTGTAACAGGAGAGTTGATGACTTGTCCTTCAGCAGATCTCCTCTGTTCAATGCCAGGCAGCAGAGACACACGACCACGAGGAGCAGACGCTTCATCATCTGAACTGCCACCTTCTAATCCTGGCCTGAAACTTGGGTGGTTACTTTCTCCAACCTTTGCCAACATGTACAGACACACATAAAAAGACCAGCTGTCAAAAAACAAACATTGGCTTACCAGTCAAAGAAACGGACATTCAGAAGTTTTAAACCCGATTTAATACACACATCACACAAATGCACATGCAACTACTGTGTTGTTCTGTTTGTGACTTTTTTCTCTTTTACTTGCACATTTTAGCAATCTGCTCAAGTTTATGCATTTTTGCACCTGACTCCGCTAAAAACTTTGTGCTGCTAACCACATATCAGAACATGTTTCTACCAAACTTCCGGTAAGATGGCGCCTGTGTACATGGCTTGCAATCCACCTCTGCTGCTGGTGTTCAGATTATTTGTGTTTTGTTTGTTTTTTATCTGGGACATAAACTCGCTGCTGGTGTATGACTGACAACAGCTTCAGGATCTTCGTTTTTTTACCGCCAATGTCGCTTATTTGGACCAATATGAGCGTTCCTCTGGGGGCAAATGAGGGTGGAGACAGGTGTGGGTGGTTCACCAAACCCACCCACATTTTGATGTTGTTGGTACCGGGAGTTGAACCAGCTATCTTCCAATCACAGACCTCTGCGCCACCACTCCCTCCCAGGAAAAGAGTGTTTGAAGATTTTAACTTTTTTTTTTTTACTTAAACCTTTATTTTACCAGGAAATAAATCCACTGAGATTACTGATCTCTTTTACAAGGATGTCCTGGGCAATGTGCAAAGCTTTCCAGTGACAAAGTTCTATTTCGTGTAAGCTATACCCTTTAAAAACCGTCGCTATTGGGTTTACCAGCGCACAGCGCGCCAAACACTAAAAACTTCTGGTCCACGCCCACCTGCTGTGTGGGCCCTACCCGGTCCGTTATAAATTGCATCTAAACCAGAGATCGACTCCCGTTTTTCTTCAGCCAACGCTAAGAACACTACTTCTAAGAAAGAAAAATAGTAAAGAAAAGAGAAGAATAAAGATGCCTTCCATTAAGAAAACGAAGACCATCCGTCTGTGCCTCGCGTGCCAGACAGGCTACATCTTATCGACGGACCTGCAAGTCGTGTGTGAAAGCTGCCTGGGAGCTGACCACGCTCGGCAAGCTTTGGATCCGCTCTTCTCCTGTCCAGCCTGTAAAGTTTTTCGGCTGAGGAGAAGTAGCGCCGGTGTAAGCTCTTTTCCTCTAAGGAGGATGAGTTTCAATCGAGGGGGGACTGTTCACTCCAGGAATTTTTGAACTCCCTGGACACGGAGTTCGTGAACACATCCCCCTCTGAAGCTGAAAAGGGCTAGCAGCCGCGCTCCATCCTGCCTTGCAGGAGGTTTGGAGCCGGTGTTGCCTTCGATGGTCGCCTCCCCAAGCACCCAGGGGTCGTCCACCACTCTGCTCCACTAGGTCCCGGAGATAATCAGGTCGGCAAGAGCCTGCAACCTAGAAGTGCCCGAGCCGGCAGCCCCAGCCATGTTGACCTTTTTGGCGGGAAGGTTTGCCGCTCAGCACATTGGACACCAGGACCCGGTCTGGCCCTGTTTCCTGGCTGTGTCCGCCCTCCTCCTTGGTTCACCCAACGATCCCTTACAGTTGAGGGCTCCGGTCGCCTCCTACACGGCCATAACCAAAGTCATTGATGGAGCTTCTGGAAAAAGATGCGATTTCCAGAGTTCCCCCGGGAGAGGAGGAAGCCGGTTTTTACTCCCGGTACTTCCTGGTTCCGAAGAAGTCGGGAGGCCTCAGCCCAATTCTGGATCTGTCTGCCTTCAACAAATTCATCATGGAACGACCTTTCCACATGCCGATGGTGAAACGTGTTCTAGAATACGACACGAGGGGATTGGTTTGTGTCCATAGAGCTGAAGGATGCATTTGTCCACATTCCAATAATAAACAAACACAGGAAATTCCTCCGTTTTTCCTTCCAGGGGGTCGGTTTTCAGTACAACCGTCTGCCGTTCAGATACGCGCTCACCCCGCGCACGTTCTCAAAATGCATGGAGGCAGCTCTGCAACCACTTCAAGCAAGAAGGATAAAAATCCTGTTTTATCTGGATGACCTCCTGCTGTTATCTCGGTCCAGAAGAGAGGCAGAGACACAAACAGTTGTTTTAGTGAATCATCTGTCTCATCTGGGATTCATGATAAATTGGGAGAAGAGCCCTATAATTTCGTTTCAGCGTATTACATCCCTGGGAGTGAATCTAAACTCAGTGAACATGACAGCTGTCCTGTCAGAACAGAGGAGGGAATCCCTGACGTCATTGCTTCAGTAAGCCTTTGGGAGTCGATCTCCGGTCCAAAAGCAATTTATAACGGACCGGGTGGGGCCCACACAGCAGGTGGGCGTGGACTAGAAGTTTTCAGTGTTCAGCGAGCTGCGCACGGGTAAACCCAATAGCGAAAGCTTTTAAAGGGCTACGCTTACACTCAAAGATTCTGGGGTTACAATACGTAAACAACGTTCAGTAAACTGGGATTTTTGTTTGTTTTGCAATATAAATAAAACAAAAACAAACAAACGATCAGTTTGTGTCCCCTCAGTGCTGACGGGCTTCAAGGGTTTAGAGGCTCATTCCACCCAGGGGCAGCTGTGGTGTAGAGGTAGGGCAGCCGGATTGGAACCAGAATGTCACAGGTTCAACTCCTCACAGTGTCCACATGTTGTGGTGTCCTTGAGCAAGACACCTAATCCCAACCTGCTCCCCGGGTGCTTCCACAGCTGCCCAATGCTCCAACTGGGTGTATCTCAGTTGTGATGGGTTAATGCAGAGATCTAATTTCATCATTGTATGGAAACATACAACGATAACACATAGCACTTTGTTCTTCTAAAGAACTGGCTGGAGGCAGGTTGTATGCGAGACATTTTGAACAAAGCTTGGCACAAACAATAGAACCTCAGAAAATAAATGAGTGAAAAAAGAAACAATAATGTCTGCTCCAAAAAAAATGATTGATAATATTCTGACCAGCTGTCTGGATGTGCTTGGTAGCAGTCGCGTTCTGCTAAGATTCCTTCTCGCTGACTCCAGCTCATCCTCAGTGTCCTCATCACTAGCTGGACAGGAGTCCATTCCTGTAGCTGCAAGGCGCACATCAGGCATCTGGAAGTCCTCCTGGGACAAAAAAAACCAACAACACAAACACACAAGAGTGTGATGTAATTACAAAATAGAACAGAAATGACAGATTTCAGTGACTATAATGTTCTTGTCTGTTTAACAAGTCAAACCCTAATTTTAAAGTTGTTTTTATAAAAATGAATTGTTTTGAAACAGAGGTTTACAGCTGTGATTAGCAAGACATTAGCAGACTCTTTTAGAGCAATAACAAACGCACTCACCTGATCATAGTGATCAAAGAAGTGGTGCCTATGCTGCTCCACCTCTTTAGAACTTGCATCCAATACTTCATCAGTAGCTTCGCCCACTCCCTGTGCAATTATGTTACATTAATACCTTCTCAAAATAAAATAAAGTACAAATCTTCTTCAGGTCTGGAGTCTTACCCTAACTGGGATCTCCTGCCCTTCCACTCTGCCTCTCTGCATTGCAGGAGGGACCAGTTTATTGAAGTACAACTCCAGTTCATCTTCAGGCAGGTTGACCAAATCAATGTCATCATCTGATAGACAAATGGAGTCATGTTTAATGCAAGCACGTGTGTCACAATCACAAACAAAGATCAGTCTTGAAGGTCTGGTCTTCTTCACCCTGTGTTTCAACAGCCAGAGCACTGAGTGATGAGGTACTCGATCTCCAACACTGAGCTCCTAGAATGAAGAGTACAACTGGAGGATGAACGCAAGTCCTACCTGTGATATCACTGCTCATGCTGTCCACAGACATGAGCTTCTCGTTGGCCAGGAAACTTGAGTTGCTGTCACTGAAATGGTCACTATCACTCTGCACATCATGAGCCTCAGCTGCAGCAGGTACTGCCTGACAAATGGATGACATGTAATGTGAGGAACACCCCTTTAAACAATGAAAATATGCTCTAAGTGCCAATACAGCTCTATAGTTCCTTCTCTGAATTAAAGCAGCATTTAATTTTGTATCATCACAAACTGCGGTCTGAGTTATGGACCTTCTGTGCACAGTTCTTGTGAAAAAAAGCTGTGGATAAAACATTCCTCACACACATTTAATACCACATATCTACAATTGGAGGTAAATATGTACAACCACACAATGATAAATAAATTGATCATATAGCAAAGAACATGCATGCAAATAATAAAACATTACAAAAGTGGTACCTTTGTATCTGTACTGCTCTTCTGTTCAAACTTGGAAAACTTCAAAAGTCCTGTGGACAAATCTGTCAGAGGAGACATCACTGACCTTCAGCAGTACTTAAACACATGCAGTCTCACTATCACAGTCAGAAAGTATGTTTCCAATTCAGTAGCAAATGTCCACACTTTGATCGTCACCAATAGCATAAAGACTACACCAGTCTCCTGTTTTTTCCCTTCTCTGTAACCCCTGGCACATGGGCAGTAGGCTACTTACAACTTCACACAGACTTTTAAAAATCAAGGTTATTGTTTAAGGCAGTGATAGTGGATCGCAAGTCTGATTAATTAAAATGTGATTAATCAGACATTGATAATTGTATTACAATTGCATAGCAGTCCTTTGAATTAAATTGTGAGGTGCCTAAAGTTTCACATCCCCCCAACAAGAATCTGACATCTTTAAACAAATTGTCTGAGGTTCAGTTTCAGCTTTAAAACCAAAATAAAAAGAAAAGGTTCTCCGCTAAGCAAGCAACGCTAATCAGAGTACGGGCAAAGACATGTTTTAATAAAGATGGATAACAGAGCACTCACCTGGTCCAAGTTCTGAGGGAGGGTTGTACACTGAACCTGTCTGCATGGGACACACTGAGCCTTGGTTCCTGGGTGCACTCTCATCCAGACTGATCTTCACAAGCATGTCTGACAGGCGGTGGGCTGCAATGAAGTCATCTGCATTGTCCCTGCATTGCAAGCAGAAACGGAAATACTGACTACATTAAAATATAACTGCAATAAAACAGATTTGTCTAATGTATGTTGATTATACCAAATCTATATTGCAAATTAGCTTTAATGTGCTTTATAATGAGCTAAATTTACTTCTGCTGTGGTGTAAAAAAAAAGTGTTTTCAATACAGTTAAAAATCAGTTCATATTGCTCGTTGCCTTTAATGCCAATGTTTTAAACTAAAATCAATATATGATGAGAAAAGAGACATGTGTATGTGTTTTGGCCAAACCTTGAAAAAAGTGCAATGTGCAGACTATATATTTGTACCTACACATCATATTTTCATATATCATATGATACATATATAAATATTTGTATCATCTACAAATATTTATACATAATTGTGAGTGGCCAAAGTATGTGAACCTCTAGGATTACAAATTCAAAAATACTTTATTTATCCCAAAGGGAAATTAAATGTTGTAACTTCTTATCCTCGGTTCATTAAGAGATGTTATAGATGCTGATGGCTGTAGACAGGAAGGATCTCTTGTAAAGGTCCGTCCCACAGCAGATCAGAAAAAAACTGGCCACAGAAGCCGTCCAATCCATCCACCCAGACTCAGCTGGTCTCTCAGTCCTCCTGGGAAGCAGGACAACCCAAATCCTGGGCAGAACTCCTCCCAGAGTGATGGCCACTCCTCCCAGCAGCCTGCTGAGCTCCTCGTCACTGCGGACAACCGGCTGCAGGTGCCTGGGGATGATCCCAGTCCTTCTGCTGACAAGAGCCGTGTTTCATGCAAGTTCCAGGATCTCAGTGGTCAGGTACTCACGCACAGCCAGCACGTAGATGGGAATGCATCTACAGTGCCTCCTTTTCAATTCCTTTGAGATTTGGTGCTGTAGCTGAGAAATTATTTGAGCTTTTGAGATTAGCAGTTAATTTGAAGGTGAAATTAGAGTCAGGTGTTTTTAATCAATGGATGATGGATGATCAGGTGTGAGTGGGCACCCGGTTTGATTTAAAGAACAGGGATCTATCAAAGTCTGCTCTTCACAACATGTTTGGATCATGGCAGGAACAAAGGAGATATGAGGACCTCAGAAAAATAGTTGTTGATGCTCATCAGGCTGGAAAAGGTTAAAAACCATCTCTAAAGAGTTTGAACTCTACAAATCCACAGACAGTTTGTGTACAAATAGAAGAAATTCAAGACCATTGTTCCCCTCCCCAGGAGTGGTGAACCAACAAAGATCACTCCAAGAGCAAGGTGTGGAATAGTCTGCGTGGTCACAAATGGTAACTTCTAACTTGCCCAGAGTAACTTCTAAACAAGTGAAGGTCTCTCTCACTAATGTTGATGCTCATGAGTCCACCATCAGGAGACAATGAACAACAATTGTGTGCATGGCAGGTTGAAGGAGAACCCACTGCTCTCCAAAAAGAACATGGCTGCTCGTCTGCAGTTTGTTAAAGATCAAGTGAACAAACCAGAAGACTGTTGGAAGAATGTTTTGTGGACGATGAGAACAAAATAGAACTTTTTGGTTTAAATGAAGTGTGTTCTGTTTGGATAAATGAAAACTCTGCATTCCTGCAAAAGAACCTTCTCCTATGTAATGGTAAATGGACTGTACTTATACAGGTCCTTCTCAAAAAATTTGAATATTGTGATAAAGGTCATTATTTTCCATAATGTAATGATAAAAATGAAACTTTCATATATTTCAGATTCATTGCACACCAACTGAAATATTTCAGGTCTTTAATTGTTTTAATACTGATGATTATGGCATACAGCTCATGAAAACCCAAAATGCCTGTCCCAAAAAATTAGCATATTTCATCCCACCAATGAAAGACAAGTGTTTTTAATACAAAAAACGCCAACCTTCAAATAATTATGTTCAGTTATGCACTCAATACTTGGTCGGGAATCCTTTTGCATGAATGACTGCTTCAATGCGGCGTGGCATGGAGGCAATCAGCCTGTGGCACTGCTGAGGTGTTATGGAGGCCCAGGATGCTTCGATAGCTGCCTTAAGCTCATCCAGAGTGTTGGGTCTTGCGTCTCTCAACTTTCTCTTCTCAATATCCCACAGGTTCTCTATGGGGTTCAGATCAGGAGAGTTGGCAGGCCAATTGAGCACAGTAATACCATGGTCAGTAAACCATTTACCAGTGGTTTTGGCACTGTGAGCAGGTGCCAGATCATGCTGAAAAATTAAATCCTCATCTCAATAAAGCTTTTCAGCAGATGGAAGCATGAAGTGCTCAAAAATCTCCTGACAGCTAGCTGCATTGACCCTGCCCTTGATAAAACACAGTGGACCAACACCAGCAGTTGACATGACACCCCAGTGACTGTGGAAACTTGACACTGGACCTCAAGCAATGTGAATTCTGTGTCTCCTCTCTTCCTCCAGACTCTGGGACCTTGATTTCCAAAGGAAACGCAACATTTACTGTAATCAGAGAACAAAACTTTGGACCACTCAGCAGCAGTCCCAGGCAAGATGCTTCTGACGCAGTCTCTTGTTCAAGAGTGGCTTGACCTGGGGAATGCGGCACCTGTAGCCCATTTCCTGCACACGCCTGTGCACGGTGGCTCTGGATGTTTCTACTCCGGACTCAGTCCACTGCTTCCGCAGGTCCCCCAAGGTCTGGAATCGGCCCTTCTCCACAATCCTCCTCAGGGTCCGGTCACCTCTTCTCGTTGTGCAGCGTTTTCTGCCACACTTTTCCCTTCCCACAGACTTCCCACTGAGGTGCCTTCATACAGCACTCTGGGAACAGCCTATTCGTTCAGCAATTTCTTTCTGTGTCTTACCCTCTTTCTTGAGGGAGTCAATGATGGCCTTCTGGACAGCAGTCAGGTCGGCAGTCTTACCCATGATTGCGGTTTTGAGTAATGAACAAGGCTGGGAGTTTTTAAAAGCCTGAGGAATCTTTTGCAGGTGTTTAGAGTTACGTCGTTGATTCAGATGGTTAGGTTAATAGCTTGTTTAGAGAAACTTTTCATGATATGCTAATTTTTTTGGGACAGGCATTTTGGGTTTTCATGAGCTGTATGCCATAATCATCAGTATTAAAACAATTAAAGACCTGAAATATTTCAGTTGGTGTGCAATGAATCTGAAATATATGAAAGTTTCATTTTTATCATTACATTATGGAAAATAATGACCTTTATCACAATATGCTAATTTTTTGAGAAGGACCTGTATAGCGCCTTTCTATCTTATTTCAAGATACTCAAAGTGCTTTACACTACAGTCTGTGTTCTCATTTACCCATTCATACAGCACTCTACTAGATCTCTACAAAGCTAATTGAACAAATCATTCTAAAGAGACTAATCAGAGCTTTAGATCACATTCATTGATGGGACACACATCAGAGGCAGTGAGGGGTTCAGTGTCTTGCCCAGGGACACTTCGACATTTGACTGCTGGTGGATTCGAACCCCCAATTCTCGCATTGGAGGACGACTGCTCTAACCACTCAGCCACAGCCGCCCCGTGAATGTAATATATATCCAATATGTGAAACATGGTGGTAGTAGTTTCATTGTTTTGGCCTATTTTGCTGCATCTGGGCCAGGACAGCTTGTCATCATTGATGGAACAATTAATTCTGAATTATATCAGAGGATTCTAAAGGAAAATGTCAGAACATCCATCCAAGAATTGAAATACAACATGACAAGAAAAGGTGGGTCATGCAGGAAGACAATGACCGTAAACACACAAGTGGTTCTACCAAAGAATGGTTCAAGAAGAATAAAGTTCATGTTGTGGAATGGACAAGTCAAAGTCCTGACCTTAAGCCAATCCAGATGTTGTGGAAGGACATGAAGCAGCAGTTAATATGAGGAAACCACCAACATCCAACATTTGAGCCTGGTTCTGCTGGAGGTTTCTTACTTTTAAAAAGGGAGTTTTTCTTTCCACTGTTGCCACTGTGCTTGCTCAGGATGGGAGACTGCAACGAAGCCAAGATTCAACTTGTCTGCTAGATTCTTTAGATAGAGAACTTTACTAATTGGCTTTTATGTGAATGTTCCTGTAAAGTGCCCTGAGACAACTTTGTTGTGATTTGGCACTATATAAATAAACTGAATTGAAAATTGAATTGAACATCCAGAATTGAAGCCGTTCTGTACGGAGGAATGGATAAAACTCCTCCAAGCTGGTGTGCAAGACTGATCAACAGTTACCAGAAACGTTTAGTTGCAGTTAGTGCTGCAAGGGGTGGGGGTGGCACCAGATAATGAATGCAAAGGTTCACATACTTTTACCCATCCATCCATCAATCAATTTTCTTCCGCTTATCCGGGGTCGGGTCGCGGGGGTAGCAGCCTAAGTAGGGTGGCCCAGACTTCCCTCTCCCCAGCCACTTGGTCCAGCTCCTCCGGGGGAATCCCGAGGCGTTCCCAGGCCAGCCGAGAAACATAGTCCCTCCAGCGTGTCCTGGGTCTTCCTCTGGGTCTCCTCCCGGTGGAACGGGTCCAGAACACCTCACCAGGGAGACGTCCAGGAGGCATCCTAAACAGATGCCCGAGCCACCTCAACTGGCTCCTCTCGACGTGGAGAAGCAGCGGCTCTACTCTGAGTCCCTCCCGGATGACCGAGCTTCTCACCCTATCTCTAAGGGAGAGCCCAGACACCCTGTGGAGAAAACTCATTTCGGCCGCTTGTATCCGAGATCTCGTTCTTTCAGTCACAACCCAAAGCTCATGACCATAGATGAAGGTGGGAACTTAGATCGATCGGTAAATTGAGAGCTTCGCCTTTTGACTCAGCTCTCTCTTCACCACGACAGACCTGTACAGCACCCGCCACATACTTTTACAACTCATGTAATATTGGATAATTTTCTTCAATAAATAAATGACCAAGTAAAATATTTTTGTCTCATTTGTTTAACTGGGGTCTCTATCTACAGGTGCTGGTCATAAACTTAGAATATCATGAAAAAGTTTATTTCAGTAATTCCATTCAAAAAGTGAAACTTGTATATTATATTCATTCATTTCACACAGACTGATATATTTCAAATGTTTATTTCTTTTTATGTTGATGATTATAACTGACAATTAATGAAAATCTCAAATTCAGTATCTCAGAAAACAAGAATATTGTGAAAAGCTTCAATAATGAAGACACCTGGTGCCACACTCTAAATCAGCTAATTAACTCAAAACACCTACAAAGGCCTTTAAATGGTCTCTCAGTCTAGTTCTATAGGCTACACAATCATGGGGAAGACTGCTGACTTTACAGTTGTCCAAAAGACAACCATTGACACCTTGCAAAAATGAGGGCAAGACACTAAGGTCATTGCTAAAGAGGCTGGCTGTTCACAGAGCTCTGTGTCCAAGAACATTAATAGAGAGACGACGGGAAGAAAAATATTTCGTAGGAAAAAAAGTGTACAAGCAATAGGGGTAACCGCACCCTGGAGAGAATGGTGAAACAAAACCCATTCCAAAATGTGGGGGAGATTCACAAAGAGTGGGCTGCAGCTGGAGTCAGTGCTTCAAGAACCACCACGCTCATAAGTATGCAAGACATTTCTACATTTTTTTGCTTTGTTTTGTTTTTTGTTTTTTTGAATGTCCAGAGGACCAGATTTAACTTTTTTGGATTTTTCTACCTGGATTATTGAGCATGCATCAGGCTATGCAAGACATGGGTTTCAGCTGCCACATTCCTTGTGTCAAGCCACTCTTGAATAAGAGACAGCGTCAGAAGCATCTCGCCTGGACTAAAGACTAAAAGGATTTTATTGCTGCTGATTGGTCCAAAGTTATGTTCTCTGATGAAATTATATTTTGTATTTCCTTTGGAAATCAAGGTCCCAGAGTCTGGAGGAAGACAGGCACAGAATCCACGTTGCTTGAGGTCCAGTGTCGAGTTTTCAGTCAGTGATGGTTTGGGGTGCCATGTCATCTGCTAGTGTTGGTCCACTGTGTTTTCTGAGGTCCAAGGTCAACGCAGCCATCTACCAGGAAGTTTTAGAGTGCTTCATGCTTCTAACTTTATGGAGATGCAGATTTCATTTTCCAACAGGACTTGGCACCTGCACATAGCGCCAAAGCTACCAGTACCTGGTTTAAGGACCATGGTATCCCTGTTCTTCATTGCCCAGCATACTCACCTGACCTTAACCCCATAGAAAATATATGGTGTATTGTGAAGAGGAAGATGTGATACGCCAGAACCAACAATTCAGAAGAGCTGAAGTGCCACAGATTGATCGACTCCATGCCACGCCACATTGCTGCAGTAATATTCTAATATTCTGAGATACCAAATTTGAGGTATTCATTAATTGTCAGTTATAATCATCAACATTAAAATAAATAAACATTTGAAATATATCAGTTTGTGTGTAATGAATGAATTTAATATTCAAGTTTCACTGTTTGAATGGAATTACTGAAATAAATCAACTTTTTAATGATATTCTAATTTTATGGCCAGCACGTGTACTTTTAGGACTTGTGTGGAAATCTGATGTTTTATGTCATTTATGCAGAAATATAGAAAATTCTAAACATTTCACAAACTTTCAAGCACTACTGTATATCTACACCATATTTTAGCACAATAACTGTGAAATTGAATAACTTGTGGTCATTTTGTGATTTCTAATGACAATTGGCTGTGGTGACCATCTTGAGTTGTCTCTTGTAGATGTTTATCCAAAAAATACTTTCTACAAGCATCATTAGATATCTTGCGAACAAACGCATACATTGGCAAAAACACTACAACCGACCTTCACGTATCAGCAGCAGATGTTAATTAGCACTTTGATCTGAACACATCACGACTGATAGCTGCACGTTTACACCAAAAGATGTACATTAAAAATCTTCTTTGCCAAATACACAGAACATAAAGAACACAGGAGGCCAACGCTTGTCTATACTCACAACTCATCTTTGAAGCTGAGGGAAAACCTGGGCTGGTCTCCAACAGATGACTGAGAGTCGGTTTGCTGCAGATCTCTGCCTTCGAGATAAGAAGCCTCAGCAAGATCTCTGTAAAATGAGCACAACTAACACTTTCACAAAGCAACTGACCAACAGTAAAACTCCTCACCTGTCAGAGACGGGAACGTCTCAAGCACAACATTTATTGTTGATCAGTATTTTATGAAAACAAGTATTTTATTTGTATGTACAAAGTTGTGCATACATGGACAGCTTGATAAATGTGAATGTTATTGAAAGTTTAATTTATTTCAGTAACTCAAGAAGAGAAAATAAGATTCATTCCACACAGAATTGTATATTTTACAAGTTCACCACTGTTAATTTGGATGATTATGGTTTGATGAAAACCCAAACTTCTGCTTCTCAGAAAGTTATAATAATAATAATAATAATAATAATAATAATGTCATCACAATGTCAGCACTGTATGTTTCCATACAATGGCGAAATTAGTCTCTGCATTTAACCCATCCACCACCAGGTGGTGCAGTGGGCAGCTATTGAAAGCGCCCGGGGGACATTTTGGGGATTAGACGTGCTGCCCAGAGACGCCACGTGATGTGCAGTGACTGGGGATCGAACCTGGGACTCTCGGGTCCCAAGCCGGCTGCCCTGCCTCTACACCATGATATACTAGATCAATAGGTGTGGACTGAAGCGTGAGTCAGAGCTTCCAGAGCCACCTCAGAGATGTATCCAGGACCTGGGCTCCAACTGCACCTGGGCTGAAGACAAAAAGGACTGGGACTGACACTCATTGGTCTAAAATACTAGTTCAGATCAAAATTAAGTTTGCTTTTCTTTTAGGAAATCAAGGTTCCAGAGTCTAGAGCAGGACTATTCAACTAGTGGCCCGCGGGCCACTTCCAGACCATGGGTGACTTCAATCCGGCCCACTACATTAAAAAAAAAAAAAAAAAAAAAAAAAAATTTTTTTGGCTCTGGGTTCTGTTTATTGCATTTATGATTCAATGCAATAAAATAAACCAATTTAAAAGGTAAAAGATCATTGTAAACTTTGGTTTATCATTTTAATTGCTGGATGTCTGTTTATCGCACATCAGAGAGCTTTGTGAAGGACCTGGCCTCTAACCACACAAAATACCTATTATTATTAGACCTTTATTTATACAGGTTAGTGTCCATTGAGCCTCGAAGACTCATTTACAAGAGAGATCTGTTACATACAACATACAGGCAGATGAGAAAAAGAGAGCACGAGGATGGAGGAAGCCAAAAAAAAAAAAAAAACGTGCACTTCCTGGCCGGGAGACAGTATAAAAGATGCAAAAAAATACCTTGCAACATCCATCCATCCATTATCTTTTACCCGCATCTTCCATTTTTGGGTCACAGGGGTCGCCGGTGCCCATGTCCGGCAATCACAGTGCGAGGGGCGGGGTACACCCTGGACAGGTTGCAAGTCCATCACAGGGACACATAGAGACAAATGAGACAAACAACCATTCACTCTCTCACTCACACCTAGGGACAATTTAGAGTTACCAATCAGCCTAACATGCATGTTTTTGGTCTGTGGGAGGAAACAGGAGTACCTGGAAAAAACCCACGCATCACAGAGAACATGCAAACTCCAACCAGAAAGGCCCCCGGACCGAGATTTGAACCAGGGACCTGCACGCTGAGAGGCAGCAGCTCTACCAGTTGCGCCTCCGTCACCGTGCTGCCTCTCGCAACATACAATGACATCATAATACATTTATGTATAGAGGTCGACAAAGCCAGTGAGTTATCCATAAACACTCCTGAAAGTTCCAAAGTTCTGATAAGATGGTACAGTGTCTATCAGCATCATGGGCCTGATAAGGCCACAGATGGGGTGGGGGGTGGGCTTCTAGTATACGACTCCTCCAGGAGCAATTTGAGATAAGTTGGCCCGTCCAAGGCCAGCGAGGAGGCCAAATTCAGATAAACAACAATTGTTTAGGCTGCCACACTCCGTTTTCTGTCAGCCTTCAGTTCTGCTGGTACACTCAATGGTGAATCCAAACAGCCAGAATTAGTGGACATTCTGCCCGGTTCGTGCTCAATTTAGCATTCTCCAAGATTGAATCCTTCATGCTGGTGAGTTCCAGGAGCCGCAAGTGGCCTACGATTCTCAGAAATCATGTCCAGCTTGCCGTTGAGCTCGGTAAGCATATGAGTCTGAGAGCTCGGGGCACAAATTAATCCTTCACATAAGGCTGGCAGCTTTACCATGGCCGAAACTGCTGCCGACGTCTTCCTACTTTGTCAATATCCAAAGTATCCACAGATTCCAAAAAGCAGAAACCCTGTCATCATAAATCCAATAATGTACACATCCTCCACAGAGAGCACAGATAGGCACGTTATCTTCCACTCATTCCAGGAATCAATGACATGCCCAGCTGTGTGGGTCCGTTCAGGGCATGAGGGCTCTCCAGCACCCTGTCGACTGGTGGAAAACATTTGATCAATTGCGTTGAGGAATGAACTGACCAAATCTATAATAATTTTCAATTCAGAAGACGTGTAAAGAGAGGATCTGAGGTAGACAGGACAAGAGAGCAAAAAAGCAGGAGGGAGGGAGGGTAAGAGTGACGGTCTTCATTGAAGGCGAGAGAGCAAACTCACCTGATATAAACCCTGAAGAGCCTATGGGGTTTAGTCAACAGGACGACGAGACACCAGACCCAACAATGGAGACAAGCTGCATTCATGTAGTAATTCATGCAAAAGGAACCCCAAACATGTTTTTCTAGGATATTGTTCAAGGGTATGTTTTTCAGTCAAATAATATTAGAAAATTGAAGGTGCATTGTGACCTTATAACACCTGACCGTGTCACTTATAAAACAAAATCTGTATCGGTCAAAATCGGAATCGGCAGGTCAGACTTTTTAGAAATCGGTGATCGGCCAGAAAACTGCAATGGGTGCTCCCCTAATAAACACACATTTTCAATGATATTCTACTTTATTGAGATATACCTGTATTGCTTATTTTATCAACAGCCAAACTGAAACAGCCTCCTTGATTATGATAATGGGGTTTCATTTGATAAGAAGCCCCATCTGTATGAAGCTGCACCCACCCACCTCATGGAAGCTGCACCCACCCACCTGTT